CCAATATCTAATTTAAAACCTTGGTTCCACTAAAAGAGATAATATTGATTGAGGCTTTATGTTGTGCAGTGCATTGGACTTCAATATCAAGGAGAAAATCAAATGGGTATATGGCGTATGCCCAAGGCCAGAGGGATGAAAACAAGGATATTACCAGTACATAGTTGTGTGTTGGTGCATGAGAATATTTTTGGGTGGCCATGGGGCTGAATTTGATATTTTTTTACTTGATCTTTTGTTTTTTCCTTTGTGTCCCCAGTTTTGAGGGAATGTAGGGGTGAAAAATTATTGCAATAGCATAATTGATCAACAATTTTTTGTTATGACTCTATTACTCATAAATCTACAAGAGATTCTCGTAAAAGAGAAAAAATCCAAAGAGATATTAAAGAATGTCTCATTCTTGACAAGGTTTGATAATGGTGACTTTTCGATTTAGGTGTATCAAGGTAGCATTTCATGATACTATGGAACAACCATGGAGTCGCCTTTTCGGCATAATTGACATGCTTTGCATTAAAGTATCATATGTGTAGTTACTAAACAAATAGCATCTCTTCTACAAATGTAATCTATAATAGAGGTACAATGTTAGTATTTTTATGTTAAATGCATTTCATGTTTTAGTGAGATTTTGGTCCATGCTAGTCTTAAAAGAATCGATGAACAACAAAAATTGGCGTAGAATTTTTTACTTTAATATAATGTTAAATTAACATCACATCTATACATTTAAATTTTTAGAGTAGATACTAATCTGACAGTACAATTTGAAAATTACGACTTTATTCTCTTTTTTAAAATCAAAATACATGACATTAATAACTGAGTCTGTGAACCTGAACCCACATAATAACACACTTTGACTACTCACATATAATAATTCAAAGTATTGTTGGTAATAAGTTGTGTCATATTTAAGTCATGTTAAATTAAAATTTATTCTATTCATAACTAACTCATTTATATTCATGTTGTGTTGAATTTGTGTCATGTATGGTTAGTGAATTTGCATTGTATTTAGCCGTTTTGTATCGTTATTTATTTGATGAATCCGTAAGACTAATTTCTTGTCGAATTTACGAATTGTGTGGATATATATATATATATGCTTGCTCTTATGCGGATACCGATGAGCTGCTACAGCTTAGGTTGATCGTTTCTTTTTCTTCTCTATTCCCTTGTTGGTTGTAATGTTGAGAAGAGCATAATTCTCTTTGTTTTGCATGTGATGTGTTAGTCATAGACATAAATTCCATTCAAGAACTCATTGGAAAATTTTTTTAGTAAAATTTTACGGGGAATGGCAAAAGGCTGGGCCAACAATTTTTTTTTACCCCTTTCTGGAAATTTATCTTCGATTAAGAAATTAGGTGATTTTTTTTATTAAAATGTAATCTGATTAAGAAACTAACGTTTTTCAAAATCTAACCCTAGGAGAATATTATTAATCATTATAAACAATAAAGTAAAGTAAAATAAAAAAATTATATATGTCATATTTTCATTAATTAAAAAAATAAGACATGATATTAAAAAATAAGTTTTCAATAACATAGTTGAATCCATCGCCTCAGGTAAGTTCTTACGCGCATCGAGACAAGCTCCTACAACTTAGTCTACCTATGCGTCCTTTGTTATTTGTCATTATAAGAAGAGCATGATTCTCTTTGTGTTTGGATGTCATGAATTAGTCCTACTACATCCAACATAAATTCCTTTAAATTTTAATTTTTTACAAATCTTATTCTATGGAGCAAAAGCTTGGGCCTTTTTTTTGTTTTTTTTTTTTGTAAGCCATTTCCAGAAATCAAATATCAACGAGGAAGTTAGGGTTTTTCTGAATTGAAATTCGAAATTTGGAATTTATATATATAATTTTTTTGATATTTTACCCAATTAGAAAATTAATTTTTTATTGCGTGATGCGTGTATATGGGCTAATCTAGTAGGGAGCAAGGTGCCCATACTATCACTTCTATATTAACATTATTCAAATGGATTTTCAGGTGTCCATACTAGCACTTCTATATTCGACAATATTTATAAAAATATGAGTTATAATTGATCTATAATTACATATTTGGTTAGTTTATAGTTTCGTACTTAATTTAAAAGTGAAATTATTTAAAATTAGTCTACAATTAGCCTTTATTTTTTTTACGGATTGTTGTCCTTATTTTTCTATAATTTATTATTTTTTCACAACTTACTTTCTTTTGTCTGATAAATTAATAGCAAATATTGTGAGCATTTAATTGCATAACCAAATGAATATCAATGGATGGCTAATAACTTAATTACACATAGCAAAATATTTTTTTTCATGGCATTATCAATAAAGTTATCATACAATACCTTCAAAAATAAAAACTCTGGTCAATTACAATTTTCTTATAAAAGTTTGTTATTATTCTTTTGTTTTTTTAATGTATATCATATACTTTGGTGTACTTGTGTTCAATGAATTTTTATATTTTAAATATGATGTAATAAAAATAATAATATTGATTTACTCTTATTGATTGGAAAGAAAAAAAAAAACAACTAAGCCATGTTTCTTGATCAATCGCCGTATGGTCTTGACTGGTTGCAACGAGTACAAATGCAGCACTGCAAACATTTTTTTTAGATTAAGAACCTCTTCATTTTCCTTTCACTCAAGGGTAGATTACCTATTGTGTATGAAAATGAAACCCTGTCGACCCTTATATTTCTTAATTTTTGTTAATTTCCAATCCAAGTTTAATCGTCCACCACTGTTTTTATAGCGTCCCGTAGGTGTTAGTGAACCCCAAAGCTAGATGATCAAAATAGACCACACTTGAAATTGAGAGGATCTGGATCGAATCCCACCACCAGTTGCCATAATGTAGATATAACTACAAGAGATCACCACTCAGGGCAGATCAGCTGAGCTTTTAGTAATGGAGCTAAGATTCCATAGGCATAATAAGTGAGTTCCGCCCGTGATCAGCAAAAAGCTTCTCTATAGCACTGGTTTTTTGGAGGACTGCTGATGATTTCAGACTTCACCATGATCCACATACATAAGGAAGGAGCAAATATAACAAAACAAGATAGATTGATTGAGATATTCGATCACTACCTCTCCAATGCTCCCCCCATGTTTTTTGGGCTATGGGGGGAGCGGTATGAGTACATTCATTCTTGAATGCCCGCTAAGATAGATAGTTGATCAACCATCGAGTTAGATATCTCAATATGAAACTTATTACTAGTTAGAGTGAGTGATCCATTTAGATGGATCACTTCACTCGCTTTCAATATTAACTTATTCCTAAGTTCAAGGTTTAATTTAATTCAACTTTTGCTCAACACAACTGAGTTTTTATAGAGACCAAGGAAAAAAGTTCATTGATGCCAAAACTTTGGATAAAGAAGTATGTTTCGAATCCTTGATAAAGAACACTTGCTGTCCGTAGGAGACACGTTCGGGCTGAAGTGCTATAGCAGGTGGACAATGAGAGACAAAAGCTAAGGAAGCGAATGTGATTAGATACCCCAATAATCCTAGTTGTAAACGATAGATACTAGGCACTATGCATGTCGATCCGTGCAATGTTGTAACTAACGCGTTAAGTATCCCGCATGGGAAGTACGTTCTCAAAAATGAAACTCAAAGGAAATGACAAAGGCCCGCACAAGTGGTGGAACATGTGATTTAATTCGATACAAAGCAAAGAACCTTACCAAGACTTGACATGCCATAAATCCTCTTGAAAGAGAGGGGTGCCTTCGGGAACACAGACACAAGTGGTGCATGACTGTCATCAGCTCGTGCTGTAAAGTGTTGGATTAAGTCCTACAACGAGAGCAACCCTCGTTTTTAGTTGCCATCACCATCCACAACACACCATACTTTTTTGGTTCTCAAGGCAATTGGATCGACCCATGAAAGATAGTTATCACTGTCTAGGTTATGCGACCTGAGGGCGGGCCCCAAGTAATTCAATTTTATGGAGATAACATGGTTGTCAAAATCAATAACCAGAGGAGTGCTTCATAGATGATAGCCAATGAGATTTCAAAAATGACGTGCCATAGTCACTAGTCTGAACTATGTTAAGCTCTGGAAACATGAATGAACAAATCAGACTGCAGATAAGAAAAGATGATAGAAGATGGAAAAGAAAACTCGTAAAGAGAGACCGATCCAGAGCAATTGTGATGGAAAACTGTATCAATCATATCTTAAACAACATAACCAATTTACCCTTTGACACATGCATCACATGCACGCACGCACGCACAGAGTGAATGACAACCATTTTAGACTTACCCTTTTCCTAGTAAATATGTTCTCTACTTACAGAACCAACACCAACCCCCAACCAACCTTATAGAAGAAAATTTTCCTCTCCTTGTGCAGCTTTGATTACCTGTGTATTGCTCTTCCTGTCAACGATATTGTTGTGGGCATTCAAAGGGGGAATACTCAAGAATGCCCAAGCTGGTGAGTTTCTCAGCTATAGTCAGCTTGTATTTTTGTGTTCAACGTACAGAACAGATATTTCATTGACCTAAAAATGAAATTAAGGATGAAATAAGAAAAGCGATACCTGTATAAAGGAATTAAAAGATCGTAAATATTGTCTGGATGTGAGGGATACCAATGTGCTGACTTATTCCCAAGGGATGTGAGGGATTTCATTGTTACTGGCTTACTGCTTTGTTTTTATGGTATCATCTACGAATAGGCAAGTGTTTTATCTTATTCTCTCAGAATGCGAGAGGAAGTCAACTAGTCTTTGGGGTTGTGAGGGTATTTCTAACCAAGAGCATGCTCTGTGTACCCTTAGGGTGGATACTGAACCATATTGCATATCTATATTTTTTTGAAATACATTTTAATACTTTCCAATAAAAATAAATCTGTATGATAGTGTAATTTCCTATGCCCCCCCCCCCAACCCCCAACACACAAAAACCACAATAAAAAAAAGAAAAAAGAAGATATGAGGGCCAACCGTGTTACCTCAATACGTTCTGTAGTCTTCAGGTATCTTTGGCCTGCCCAAAATAGTGCCAACAATGTTGTCAGCTTTCAAAGGAGGCGAGGTATTGTTGTCAGCTTTCAAAGGAGTCGAGGTATTGTTGTCAGCTTTCAAAGGAGTCGAGGTATTGTTGTCAGCTTTCAGAGGAGGCAACCTCGACAATGCCCAAGCTGGAGAAGCGTCCAGCCATAGTCCTTCACCTGTATCTTTGTGTTTAAAGTCGGGAGATTTTGCATTGACCTACAAATGAAATAGAAGTCTGAACTAAGAAAAAATACACTTACATATGGATGACAGTGTTACTTATTCCTCCACCCCCTTTCCCATGCGAAAAACCAAAAAAACAAAAAAAAACCTTGAGGACAAGTATTGTTACCTTATTTGTTCTGTTATCCCACCATTTATCAGGGTATTCCAACAAATTCTTCCAAGAATCGATCTCTAAATTCCAGCAAAACAACAAACCATCAGAATATATTTTGAACTTAAATTGAAAGCATAATTCCTTGGGTGATCACTCCTAAAATTACACCAGGGAAAGTAAGTCCTGAAAAAAGTCCTCACATGCAAAGATTATTTTCCTGATTTTCCTAAAAAAATCTTTTGAAAAACAAACTGAAAGCATAAGAAAAAGGGGTTTGTATAATTGCAAGTTGCAACCTCCAAGGTTTATTACTAGGGGGACTCACACAAGGTCTGCAGATGGAAAGAGGGAAATTGACATCTGTAAACATCCCCCCAGGGCATGGTTTAATAAATTAAGCAAGGTTGATGTGGATAGAAGAGAATGATGTAAGATAACTCTGCGCTTGTCAAACAGAGGTCCAGTACATTTATTATCCTCAAAAGCTCACCTAATTAAGCACTTCCATGTGAAGGATTGGGCGGCTTCTGCAACATCAACAACACCTACCTTCCACTAAACAAATGTATTTTGATTTTTCACAGATATTGGTACACTTTCTGGAATCTGTACCCACTTTATTCTTCATTATAACACGAAGCTTAGGAAAGACAAGAGTGAAACATTTAGGACCCCAAACCATGTGTTTCACTGTAACCTGACTTTGTTTTTATTTCTGCAGTCATGAATGATTTAACCTAGATTAAAGGGAACTCTTGATAAAGAAATAACGTTCAAACAGTCTCAGCATCTTCAAGTTAGTCGGCTAGTCAAGGGATCAAACGCAGGTTGAATTCTGATCGACCCGAATCCAATTATAACCATGAGAAGACATCACAAGGAACAATTCAATGGTGGACAAGGAGTCCAACACAATGATGTTCAAGAAAGCGTACAAGAAGCAAAAATAAAAATTACAGGTCACGTGAAGCTTTTCAACTTGCTCCAATACAAAAGAGAGGAGTATCTTCAAACTTCTTAGCCGTTGAAGTCCAAAAAGAAGCCAAAAAATGAAGCATATCTCATGATCCCTCAACTTATTCATATTTATCCTAAAAATACTCGCATCCCATTCTTTCCAAATCACCCATAAAGTAGCAAAGAAATCATTGTGCCAAAGAAACTTTCATTTTCTATTTCCTCCAAACCCCACATCATTTAAAAAAAAAAAAAAAAAGATTTCATATCCCTTGGGGCAACCCAAGAAAAATTCTCAAGGTCAAAAAGCTTACTCCAAAGTCCTTGCACCAAAGGGTAATGCAAAAATAAGTGATCCACACTCTCATAATCACCCTTAGACATAATAAACCATTGTGGTTGAAGATAAAAATTAGTTCTCCTCTTTTGAAGAACCTCATTGTTACTAATTTTATCTGTGGGCAATAATCGGTGCACAAACTTGCATATTTAAAGGCACCTTAATCTACCAAATATTCAATGATGGTTCAAAAGAAACAAGGGATCATCAATTAAAAACTCAAAGAAATATTTATAAGAAAAGACATTCATTGTATTACCAATCCAATACCTCCTATCCTCCAAATTTGGAGTCAAAAAAATTATTAAGCATGGAGAAAAGACTTATCATTTCCAAACATTCCCTATCATTAAGACTTCTACGAAAACCAAAATCCCAAGAAATCGGTTGAAATTATGGTCGAACCATAGATGCAATCCAAACATTCTGATAACAAGAAACCCGATAGAGGCGTGGAAAGAAACTAGAGAAAGAAGACTCACCAATTAGAAAATTTGCTTCCGAATTTGATCCGTTTATCCGTCGGATTCAATTTTCATTGTCCATATTCACTTCCATTAAGAGTTAGATGTTTAATCCAAAAATACGGTCCAATCCAACAAAATAATAATTGAATTGTAGACCCATATCTCGTTGATTAAGGTTCAACTTAATATTTTTAAATAATCATGTACTCCAAAGGCTTAATCTGTTGGAGAGGGTGACTTATGTATTTATATTTCAACACGCCTCCTCACGCGCATACTAGATTTTGTGCCTATCACGTGAAAAATCTTTTAATAATTAGAGTGGGGCAAAATTCGAACACAAGACCTTCTATTTTGATATCATGCTAAACAATCATGTACTCCAAAAGCTTAAGCTGTTGGAGATAATGTAACTTAAGTATTTATACATATCAATTCCACAAATTAATCAACCATTTCATCCCATTGCACATACAATTTCATCAAATAATTCATGATTTCTGCAAAAACAATAAAAATAACAAATCAGATCTGACCTGAAATATGGTCGTAGGTCATGGATCTCGGTTTGTCCATGAGTTAGCTTTTTATGGCAACCTTCTTCTCTGAGAATTTTATCCACTATTGTATGAACATCGGAAAATCAATGTCTTATTTTCAAATGATGAGGAGGCTGAACAACAGTTAGATATATTAGGGTAGGTGGTATTAGCGCAAGGCAGATCAAGTTGAGGGGATGGATCCGGGCTGCAGGGGCCGTGAATCAGAACATGGACATGAGGGCAGATTGGAGATACACAAGAAATAATTCAAGAGAGAGGGGGAAAAGGGCACAATAGAAGATTCTGGCCCTCCAAAGCAGAAAGAGAAAGGAGATTGAAATGAAGAGAAGAGAAGAAAGAAAACAAAAAGGGGGAAGAAATAGAGAGGGAAAGGAGATGGGAAATGTTATTTTGTACTTTCACTTTTACAATTTTGTACAAATTTCAAGCCAATATAATATATCATCTTTGTCTATAATCAAACATTCATTTGCAAGCATTTCAATTACATTATTCCTATATTTACTTAGATTATTTGATTATATTTTGGATTGAGTTCACAGTGGAACGGGCATATCCGTATCCAAATTAGATAATAGTGATCTAATTGGATTCGGATTAGCCGATTGTAATTCAGTGCATATCCGACTAAAGGGATTCTGGTTCGTACTTAATAGTGGATTTGGGGTCAAAATCTAATCCATTGATAGTCCTACAAGTTAGCCTCTTTACAAATATTGACTATTGTTGACAATAGTGATGAACAATACTTAGTTTCTCCACATTGTTGGTATAACTTGGTTACTTAGGAATACACAATCAAGTGCAACTGCCGAATGAAGGGCAATGGCGCATGTGGCTGAGAACACTATTGGAGAGAAGAGACAGATGGTCCCAAAGGTAGCCAAGGTTAGCTTAGAGGAAATTTAGTGTGTAAAAAGTGGAGTTTGCCCACTCGGATTGGTCCCCATCCGCTTATTTTTATTTTTCATAGAATTTTATCATCTCCTCTACTGTTCTTGATTAATCATTCTTTTTTTGAAAAATAAAAATAAAAGCAAAAAGACCCAAAGTGGGTCCCCATCCAATTCTACCACTTTGTGTTTTGTTGCAGCCACAATCCACCTAAAGCCCCATTACATAGGATTGGCTTACCTAAGGACACCAAAGAGGCTTAATTGAACCCTGACCAAAACCCATGAGTCCCAATGCCTCCACTAACAACCCCCTTGCTCGTAACTTATGAAATGTCCATGAGCAACCCGCTTCAAACATCCCTACTTTGTCCTCAAAACGCCTTAACCAATTCATTCTCAGAGCCCTAATAGATACCAAGAACTCAATGAAACAACTTATGCTGCCAGACTCCTAAGCTTGAACCATCACTTCCTTCACTTTCCCCAAATTTCATAATCTCCTCTACTGCTCTTGATTAATCATTCTTTTTTCAAAAAATAAAAATAAAAGCAAAACCACTAAACAGTGGCAAAATAGGAGAGCTATTGCCGTAGATGAGGAGTATAAAATGTTAATTATCTTTAATTCTTTATACATTACAATCGGCCAAACCATGCCAAACACAGAAAGAAAAAACAGCACAATAATAATAACAACGTAGAACCAAAGATACAAAGCTCAACATAACTATTCAGAGAAACTTAGAAGTAATTTTGGTAAAGATGATGTATTTCTTGTTTTGACATTCTTTAATTTGTGCTACATCTGTTCTACACAATCTCCATACTATGTATCTGATACACTAATGAAGATTCCAAAATATCCTCAATAATGTTGAAATGCTTTGTGCTAGGATATGTAACACAAAAAAGTCATATTAGTATTTAGTGTGCCAAGTGCAAGTGTAATGTGCCAAAACTCATTACGAATGATGTGAATCTACAAATGAAATCATAATTTATTTTAATACTCACTTTTGTTATCCTTTGCTTCTTTCATCCTACCAATTGGAACATCAAACTCCAATCCTTCAAGTCCTGCCAACACCCATTGCGGAGCGCTCTTGAGCCAGAGTGCAAGACCACTATCCTTGTGTTTAAAATCAGGGTGTTTGGCTTTCACCTACAATGCAAACAAAAGAAGCGTAAATTTCATCCGAAACAGTATATCAAATGTAGAAGAATTATCCGGAGACTGGTGATCACCAATCCATTGAGCTTGTTTTCACGATGATCCCACCATTGTTTGGGATTTTTGATAAGATCTCTCCAAGAGCTCAATGTGACGTCACCATCCTTCATTATGCTAGCTGGAGAGAGAGTGAGATATGAATTTATTCTGAACGTTATTACAAGCATCAACAACATAATCAGATAAGCAACCTGAACCACAATAAAATGAGATCAAATACTGTACGACATTCCAGCTTCAGGCAATTCTGATTGATTTAATGACACAAAGTTAAAGATCCTTCTAAAATCAATTCTCAATTGATTTAATGACGCAGGAACTGCACATGGATTACGTGCCCTCTCATATCTACTGCAACTGCTTTTTTCTTTAAGTATCTTTACTACAATTGCTATGGTTCTAGTTCTTACTCTGTGTGGGCATTCTACTTGATATTTCTAAGTTTTAAGTAATATTTTTCTCATCCCTCTTTATGGCAACACCTTTCTTTCTCTAACAAGAATAACCAACGTCAAACTTGCTAACCACACTTGTAAGTTTGTTTGAATTCGATTCTATTACATGATCTGATGAAACTGGGGGAAAAATTCTTCACAGAATGACTAGACAATAAACTACTAATTTCTTAGAGCGAGAAATATATCACATAACAGAGGAGAGAGAAAAGGAATAAAGAGCAGAAAGAGCTATGAAGAGGGAGGGCATGTCACAACTTCCAGGCCTCTTTCACCCAAGCCAAAAAGAACGAGAAAAACAGATCTGAATAAGGGGAGAAAAAAAACAGATCAAGATGCAATGGTCAAAAGCATGCGTCTGATGAAAGAAAAGACAAGAAACAAAGGAGAAAAGCAATCAGACAAGTGAGCTCAAAGTTATTCCAAATAGTTGCTATGAGAGGCTTCATCCCTTTTCACATGCACAAGGTATGTGTATGCTTTTTGAAAGCCCTAAAAACAAATTAAATTTTGAATAAACTCATCCCATCAGGTAAAGCAAAAAAGACTTAAACATAATCTAAAACCCAACAAAACTCCTAACATACACCGATTTACATGTCAACCTATAATGGGCCTTGAATATCATCAATCCCCTTTGTGGAAGATAACTCAACCCCTAATCGTGATTCTTCAAGAACGAAATAAGATATTTATCTTCATACCGTTGATGAATGTGCATCTCTGTTGCAAAACTAATATTGCATGGCCCAGTGTTCTTCAAGAAAGAATATAGTTCTCAAATGGGAATGGGAAGAAAGATCGAATGACAAGGGAAAACAAGATAAAATAACATCAATCGAGAATATAGGTATACTGATAAAGGATAAGAGGAGTTGAAGAAAAGGCGATCAAAGATAAAATAGGACAAGTGGATGGCAAGGAAAGAGAGAAAAAGATAGGGAGCAGCTGCAAAGACAAACTGGAGGAAGAAAGAAATCATGCTTCGTGCCCAGGAGAGTAAAAACCCAAAAGACATTCTCAAACTAACTTAATAGACATAGAAACAAAATATTAACCAAATTTTTTTAAGCGGCAATATTAACCCAACTTCTACTGCTTAACCCACTGAAAGTCTTAACAATATTAAGCAAAATCCTGATTAAGACCTCATTGGTCCTTCGTAAACAATGCTGCATCAATCACATAGTTTTATTTTCAGTTTCCAAAGGAAAATAAGAGTCTTTGACATCAAAGCCAATCCAAAAACTCTATCGTCTTTGTTGAGAGAATTATTATTATATTGTTATCATTTAATATGGTTGTAAGAAGTATACCTATCTAAGGGTATTCTAATCTTTTGTGTTTAAAGGTAACTATAAATACAAGCTAGAGAGTGAGAAGTAGGGTAAGCTAGACTCCTATCTGCCTCTCTCATATTGTGTTCAGTCTCTTCATCCTTTAAACCCAACATGGCATCGGATCATTATTGATCCAAAATTTGATCTGAAATTTATTTTTTTATACTAAAAATTTGACCTCAGGATTTTTGTTCTTCTCTTCTCGTTTTCTCTTTGCTTTTCTTTTACTCGTTGGTCCCGTATAATGTGCAACCCACGACTATGGTCTAGGGTTGTGGATGATGGTTGAACATTGATGCCATAGTTCATGTATGTCCATGCTTTGAAATTGAGGCGATGTGATCAAAAGAGTGTTGAAAATTGATTCAGGTACTATTCTGTCGCCGAAACCCTGTTGGGTGTGTTGTTGTGGTCTTTGGTGATTTGTTGTGTAATGTCATCGCTGCCGGAGTAGTCTCTCGAGGTTATGTGATCTTGAGTTGGTTGTGTCGTGGTGTCACTAGAGGTCTGTAATGGAGATGATGTTGTCATCACAGGTCTGGTGTGGCGTCAGTGTAGTGCGCCGTCGATAACTAGGGTTCCATTGAACCCATCGTAGTAGAGAAGACGATATCCAAGGCATCCAGGTCAGATTAGGTCATGGGCTAAATTAATTGGCAAAGCCTAATCACATTTGGACTCCGCCCAAGCCCACTATCAAGCTTAGCCCAAGCCTTTAAGTCCATCCATTATGTTTAGGTCCAGCCCAGGTTCCATCCTATTCAGGTCCAGTCCAGCCCAAACTGGGTCAATTCATCCAGTTTATTGAGGTTCAGGTCCTGATTAGGCCGGTTTAGTCCGGTTCATTTGATTTTATAACTGGTTCACCCCAGTTCGGTGGGTTTCCAACAGGTTCTGTGATTTCCAGCTGGTTCAGTGACAATTTTACAAGCAGTTCATCTGGTTTTCTAACTGTTCACTCCAGTTCTATGAGTTTCCAATAGATTTTGTGATTTTCAGCCGGTTCAGAGACAATTTTACACCAGGCTCAGCTTTCAGTGCGACTAGTTCAGCCCCCTTTCCACAAATCTGTGATTTTGCACTATTCAAGTGATGATTTTTGCATAATTTGGTTTACTTTGCTTTGGTCTGTCTCCAAATCTATGATATTACTATGGAACCCAAAGCTGATACTCCATCTCTTGCCCCAACCTTGTTGTCACCGACACTTTCCCCCGACTACTCTTCTTAATGCTCCGATGACTTCTGTCAAGCTCAATGGGACTAATTGTGTCCTATAGTTCCACTCAGTCCAAGTCTTTGTTAAAGGCAAATGCCTTAAAAAGTATTTAGTGGACAAGAAATACAAGGAAAACTAAGAAGCACAGATACGGACACGAGTGTCGCATCTGATACGATACGAACACGGCGATACGGCAAACTCCCAAAATATAGGATACGGGTATAACGATGATACGACTAATTAAAATAATTATATATATTTTTATATATATAACAACAATTTTCAAAAGGCAGCAGGCAACACAGAAATTAGCTGGCAGCAGCACAGATGACCAAGACCAAAAAAAACCAGCAGGCAGCACAGAAAGTAATTTTTAGTATTTAAAACCAGCAGGCCTACACACTAGCATAGCATAGAAGGTAGCAACACAGGTGACAAGACCAAAAAAAAATCCAGAAGGCAGCAAGCAACACTGCACCAGACCAAAAAAAAAACCCTAAAGGCAGCAACACAACAAAAAAATTGAAAACCCTAAAACCCTAACCCAATCAAATTAACCTAATCAAATTTTTTGAAAGTCCAAACTCCACACAGACCAGAAGAGGTAAGAGCAGCAGTAGCAGATCTGAAAAAAAAAATTGTGGCAAGAAGAAGAACCTGCAATCGTAGTCACCAGTCGCAAGTTAGTCTCCCTTTCTCTTCCCTCTCTTTCTTCTTCTCCTCCTCTGGTCCTCTCGATCGTTCTTCTCCTCTCTTCTCTTCTCTTCTCTTCTCTTCTCTCTCTCTCTCTCTCTCGAACACACAGAAAGTCGAAATGGTGTTCACCGATGCCTTTTTCGGTTTTTCCTTTTTGTTTTTTCTTTTTAAGCCAAACGACATATGAAACCATTTTTTTTTTTCATTTCAACCCCCTAAGTTTTTAAAATAACAAAAAATACCCCACCGTATCCTGTCGTGTCCCGCACGTATCCGAACCGTATCCGACCAAAAAACATAAGTAACTGTTCATGACACTTCTACAAGGGTCGGACACGTGTCCGACCGTCGAACACGCGTATCCATGTCGGACGCGTGCCATGAGGACTCCCCACCGAATATTCGTGCTTCCTAGAAGAAAAATGACCCTGAATTTGGTCAGTGGGAACAAGAGGATGCATAGACTATTTACTTACCGTTGAATAACATCATAGTTATCAAAATCATACGATTAGCGATTCGATTCGTACGATGCAGTTCGATACAAGTACAAGACAATTCGTATCTTATATGAGAATCATTTTAGAGTTAAATCGCACCTACATCGTACGATTCCATTTGTATTGTACGAATCGCACGATTCAATCATTTTTTTAAATCCAAATTTTTTGAAAAACGACATCATTTTATCCGTTAAACAGTAAAACGATATCGTTTTGTTTGCAGAGGACCCCAGGCCCTAAAAAAAACTCAACCTCGTCGTCTAAAGCCCACCTTGCATTGTCTAAGCTAAAGGTCACGGCTAACGCTCTCGCATCATTAATTGATTTTTGCTCTTAATTCTTTCGTAGGTAGTTTGCTAAGTTCTAATTTTTTGTTTCAAAATGCTAGCCTGTATGTTTTCTCTCGATCAATTTTCTTATTTGTTTTTTTTTCATTCATGTTTGTAACCTAATCTATACTGGATGTCACTGTTTTGATTCTTGAATAGCCATGGTTCTTTCAAGTTGTGGGATTTGAAAATAGTTAAGTAAAAGATGAAAATGAAACAAAAAAACTAGCGTCTTTCCATTTAGACAACGTGATTATATCAATTGATTATTTTTAAAAAGTAATAATGTTCAATATTCAATATTTTCTCTATTTTAAATAAATATGTAATATGATTTTTTATTTTTGTTCAAATTTTGTGTCGAATTTTACGATTCACAATTTGATACAATTTACAATTCTCAAATTTAAGATTCCGATTCACGATACGAATTGCGATTTGACAACTATGAATAACATTAAGTCTCGTATCAACTCTACCTTGCTTTATCTTGATACTGTCAAGGAAATCTGAGATCATTTGGCACTCATGTATTATGGTAAGCGAAATTTTACTTATACTTATG